ATCAATCCTTACCCATGCCATTCTGCAATCTATTTCATACTTTGTAAATAGATTTAAAGCAAACTTTACGCACGCTATTTGGTATGCTTCACTGTTTAAAATGTAATATCAATCAGGCACCCATTGATTATTTGGTTACAAACAACATGAATAGGTCGAAATTATATATGGAAGCTATGTTATATCTTAATCTGAACCAATTTCAAGGGAACTTGCCGAGATTAATTTATACTAATTTCAGTACGTTTTGCCAATTGGCCTAGCTATGGGTCTTTAGTACACCATTTACGTAAAATCGGACAAAAGTATATATAGGAACTATATGTAAATCTGAACCAATTTCAAGAAAACTTGACACACGAAAGGTTATAGTAACTTCAGTACATTGTGTAAAATTGTGTGCGGGTCGGACAATATTTGGTTCTTTAGAGCACAATTTACATTAAATCGGACGAAAATATATATTGGAGCTATATCTAAATCTGAACCGATTTTCACGAAACTTAGCACACATCATTCTGGACCCAATTCAGTACCCTATGCTAAATTTCGTCCAAATCGAAAGATATATAGGGGCTTTGGTGCCCCATTTACCTTATATCAGACGAAAATATATATGGGAGCTATATCTAAATCAGGACAGATTTTAACGAAACTTAACACACATCATTCTAGATGTAATTCAGTACGCTGTGTCAAATTTCATGCAAATCGAAAGGTATATAGGGACTTTGGTGCACCATTTACATGAAATCGGACAAATCTATATATGAGAGCTATATCTAAATCTGAAACGATTTTCACGAAACTTAGCACACATCATTCTGGACTTTATTCAGTACTCTATGCCAAATTTCGTGCAAATTGAATGATATATAAGGACTTTGGTGCATCATTTACCTTAAATCGGACGAAACTATGTATGGGAGCTATATCTAAATCTGAACCGATTTTTTCGAAACTTGACACACGTCATTCTGCACCTAATTCAGTACTCTATGCCAAATTTCATGCAAATCGAAAGATATAGAGGGACTTTGGTGCCCCATTTACCTTAAATCGGACGAAAATATATATGGGAGCTATATCTAAATCTGAACCGATTTTTTCCAATTTCTATAGGGTTCGTCCTTGGGCCAAATAAGTGACTTGTGCCAAATTTCATCCAAATCGGATCATAAATGCGACCTGTACTTTGTTTACAATTTAACATCTACAGACGGACGGACGCACGGACATGCATAAATCGACTCAGAAAGATCTTAAAAGGAACCATGTGTCTAGCTCGTTTCTTTTTGCGTGTTACAAACATATGCACAAAGACATAATACCCTGTACCACAGTGTGGTGAAGGGTATAAAGATTTGGTTGAAAAAGATCCCCAAAATCAGGAAAATTTGTTGGTACCCTTATATGGGGGCTACCTGAAAAAATTGACCTAAATATATAATTTTTGGTGGAAAGATTTGCTACCCAATAAGAACTACAAATACTAAATTATAGCCAATTTGGTCGTAAAATACGACCAAAACCCCCAAAATACCGAATATTTGGGGGTACCGACATATGGGGACTACCAGAAAAAGTGGACCTATATTTATAATTTTTAGTGGAGAAATTTGGTACCTAATTAGAACCTAATGTACCAAATTTCAGCGAATTCAGTTGTAAAAGATCAAGAACCCCAAAATACCGAAAATTGGTGGGTACGCTTATATGGGGGCTACCCGAATACAATACCCGAATTCTGGCCTGATATAACCCCGTTTAAAATAGCTTTTGAATCGATTTTGGAAAGGAGACCGACAGGACCCCTTCAGATAGTCGAGTGAGGGTTAACGTATGTGACAACAGTATTCCTCAGATTTATATCAGTAATATTGACAAAGACACCATATACCTAAAATGCTATGATTTCGAGAAATCTTAACCCGAATATTTTCAATTGTCTTAGAAATGTGAAACATTGCTACGTCTTTTTAGGTTACCTACCAATGTAAACTATCAAAATGCCTCTGCACGTGTCTTCTATTTTTATCCCCTCTATCATATTTTTTTTTTTGGAATTTTTGTGTTGCACTTTTCGTCATTTGGGTCCTCAGTCGATAATATACCCCCTAGAATATTTTGTGGGTACAAATTTAGTTTTTCTTCAAAATTTTACCATTTCAGGTAACTGAATGAGTGAACCGATAGTTTCGTGGGATCTAGAACAAATATTTTGATGCGGTATATTTTTATCGTCTCCACGCCCTTGACATATAATAATATAAAAATAAGTAATAACGATTATCACAATCCCTTAATATACTAATAAGCAAATATAAAAAAGTCCGATTTTAAGTTCTTCCAGTTAGGTACAAAGCGGAATCTTAGCAGAAGAAATAAAAATACTCAAATAATAAATAACATTTTTAATTTCCATCAATCACAATTAAATATTAGTACCACCGACTGTGTTATTTGTCGCATAAAAATCCCTTCGAAAAAAATTGTTTCCATTTGTCAACACAATCAATGCCGATAATCCAACCCAATAAAATCACCATATGCTACAGATATATAAATATATTTTTTGAGGATTTTTTTTTGTTTTAATTTACCTGTAAATGTGTCAGGCCGACAACGTTGTCGTTAATCAATTTCAGCCATTGGCTTAAAATGGCCAAATCATCACAGTGTATTATGCCCGTCGATGTGCCATTTATGCCACGCACTTCAAAGGCGTTGGGTCGTAATTTATCGGTGCCGTAAATGTAACGCGTTACGTACGCCATCATAAGGGGAACTGAAAGGAGATAAACAACAATAAGAAGAAGAAGAACGACAACAACAACGCTGTAGTGAGTGAATGATATACATAATTGAATGAACACATTTTACGAAATAAATAAGTGGACACAGGATATAATTGTTAATACTGACATACTGAATTGTGTGTTTGTATCGGTGTGTGTGTGGGTGTATTAATGAAGTATGTGAGAATATGTAAGAGTAGTCATATTGCTTTTAATGAAGTATTTGTTTAATTATGTAATTGAGAATGTAAATAAAAATGATATTGATACTATTTTTGATAGACTTTAGGAAATACTTTGCCGATTTGTAAAACTAGTTTTATTAAAGACCTATGTATAATTTTTATGAATATAGTAAGAAATATATTAGAAATCTATTAAGGAAATTATATATTTAAAATAATTCCTTCTTTAATATTTATGGAATGGCTGTAAGCGTGGATGCTTTGGAGAATATATGTATTTAAGCGTTTTTAAAAGAGATTTTGTAAAAATTAATGAGCCATAATAGTGGATTTTTTGATCTATCAGAGCTATACGAGGACTACTATATACATGTTGGGTCTGAACAGTACTATATGTTGGTATTTTCTTTGGAATTTTTGATTTTTTACCATAAACGATCTTAGTACGGTTTGACGTAAGACCATGTGTCGGAAAAAATAGGGCATCGTTTAGATGAAATCGCCTGAGAATATATATGGGAGCTGTATCAGAATACGAACCCATTCCAACATTAATCTAGGTTCAATTTGGAACGTACTGCAAAATTTTGTAGGATCTTTAGTGCATCAATTACATTAAATCGGATGAAAATATATATAGGTCGATTTAAACAAAACTCAATACGTGGCAAAAAATGTAGTTTTAATCGAAAAAAACACACTGTTGTAAAATGGCAAGAAATATCGCTGTGGGCCTATCTCGATTCTTTTTACATAGTTTTGCAAGGCCTCTGGAAGACGTGGATTTTTAAAATAATTATTTCATGGCTTTTGAAAGGAGTGATTTAAAAAAATATATTTTTAAAGGCTTCTGAAAGGCGTTGATTTTTAATAAAATATATTTTTGCTAGGCCCCAGATACGCGTGGGCATACAAAATATTTTTTCAAGGTCTCTGAAAGACGTGGAATTAAAAAAAAAACAGAAATCAAGACATCTGGTAGGCGTGGGTAAAACATTTTTTCAATGTCCCTGAAAGGCGCGGATTTTTAAAAATATTTTGAGGACACCGACAAACTTTTTCAAGGCCTCTGAAAGGCATGGAATTAAAAAACAAGGCCTCTGAAAGACTTGGATTTTTAAAAATATTTTTTCAAGTCCACTTGCAAGATGTGGATTTTTATACCCCCTACCATAATGTAGAGTTTACATTAAAATTGTCATTATGTTTGCAAATTTTCACCGGGGTCTCCGGTATATATACTTGATCAGAATAAAATTCAATGTCGATTTATGCGTGACCGTCTGTCTGTCTGTTAAAATCACGATTGAAATATTTAAAATAGAGATCTGAAAATTTGCACCGACATTGTTAGTGCTCCTAGGATGTTTGATATGGCAAATGGGCAACACGTTTTGTTGTAAATTCTATATAACGATACCTCCCAATATTCGGTATTTGGGGGATTTCAATTTGGTATTTTGGGTTATCATTGTATAGCACATGTCCGTACCAAAAATTCTTAATATTTTGTATTCTAATTTGGTGTCAAATCTTACTACCAAAAATATCAATATTGATCTCCGATTTATTATAGCCTCATGCAAAGGTAGCCCTATTATTAGATATTTTGGGAATTTAAAATATCTTTTTCTCAAGTATTTTCGGTATGTTCATGGTCATATCGTAACATGATTATTTCCTAGGAGCCCACATTAATTTTAGATATTTTGATTGTCATCCTCATAGTGGAGGGTATACAAACGTTAGTTAAGAATTGAACATCGTTTTTACTTGTTAAAAATATTATTGTCAAGCCGGCTGAAAGGAGTGGATTTTTTTCAAATATATTTTCAATGCCTCTGAACTCGTGGATTTAAAACAAATATTTTTTGTAAGTCCTCTGAATGATGAAAGATGTAGATTTAAAACAAATATTTTTTCAAGGTTCCTGAAAGGCGTGGATCTAAAAATATTTTTTGGATGGCCTCTTTTTGCCATAGATTTAAAAAAATATAGACTTTTGAATATTTGCATATACATTGCTTCTAATTCTAAATATATTAATTCCGGCCTGTTTTTGAATATATCCACGTAGATATTTATGATAAATTTTTTGCCAGTGTAAGACGAAATACCAAACTGCAAATTCTTGGGTTGGAAAAAATACTCAAGTTGCGTTATATTGCAACTGTTGAGTGACCTCTGTAAGGTGGCTATGTACAATAATGGTCTTATTTTGAAAAGTTTCTATAAACAACAGGTTTAACCTTGCAAAGTCCTGCAAATCCTGATTACAATCTCTCTGTAATCCTTTGCAATCTCCAGGGAAACGTGAGCCTACTTTGATAATTCTTATTAGGAAAATTTAACACGCACTGAGTGTTCAAAATTTTAAAAATATCGAATTATGTAGGTGTGCCTTAAAGGGATTACATCTAAACCTCAGCCAATATTGATAACTTTTGGTAATGAGATTTTCTACTCAAGGAGAATCCAAAATATACAATTTACAGCCAAGCTGATTGAAAAACATACATAAACTCCCCAATCCTACCTAAATTTTGGAACGTATCTTTACAAGGGACCTATACCAAAAACCTAGGTCGATTTATACCACTTCGAAAAGCAAAACTACTGTGAGAAGTAGCAATGTATTCGTGATTTCAACATACAGGCGGAATGACAAAATCGACATTTGATTTTATTCTTAGTCGACCAAACTGACTATATTGCTTTGAGAATGTGTTCACCTTTTGACTTATCCTTCATATAATACTACGAATCGAAATCCAGTTGGATGGGTCCAGTTGGATGGGTCCAGTTGGATGGGTACTCTACACAACTACCACTGCACTCTAACTTTCTGCTGAGCATTTTTTCTAGAAGGTGCAAATATTAAGCGATATTTGCACCTTCTTCGTCAAGAGCTTCTTTTTCTTATTCCGGAATTTGTAAAATTACGTTTCACCCAAATAACCCAACATTTGATCTGCAAAATATTGATCGATCATTGTCAAAACCGCAGTGATGTTCGGCTATAAAACCAGACAAAATAAACATTACATCCCCAAAATATCAACTGGTTATCACCGAAAATCACCGAAATTTTACATGAAGTTATAGTCAAGGACGATGACTAGTCCTTGACCATAACTTCATGTAAAATTTCGTAACTATTTCCTAGCACATCGATGCAACATTTACGGTTTTAAGTGTAAAACTTGAAAAGTTTTGCTGAAGGTATTTCAAAAACTATTTAAAATCGCAGATTCTTTTTTACAATAGAATTTCAAATATTTAATGTAAAATCTATGTAAAAAATTACAAAATTTCTTTAAACATATTTCGTTAATTTCATTTTGATTCAGTGTAAATGTATGTCTGTGTGTGTGTGTGCGTTCGTGTGTAGATGAAATACTTACCTGCCACAACGTCCACCCATTTCTTTTCGGGTTCCGAACAAATTGACATTGGTCTGCTACAACTACGACTAATGGTACCATTATTCACTGAGGATTTGTATCCTTCGTCAGCCTTTAATTCAGCACATGTTGTATCGTTATCTGAGTCAGGTGTATCTTTTGCCACTGCATTAAGAAAAAGAAAAGATAGGAAAAAATAGGGATGAAATTAAAGCAAAATTACAAATGAGAGATACAACAATGGGGTTGTACAATAGGGTTACAAGTTTATTTTTTGAAAATAAGGAATTTTTATATTTTGTACAGTCATATATAAGGAAGTAGAGTACAAGATCAATGTACATAATAATAATAATATTATTATTTGTATTTGTTGTATAAACTAAGGTATTCCCAGAATAAACAAGTAAAAAAGCGTTAAGTTCGGCCGGGCCGAACTTTGGATACCCTCCACCATAGAAATACTGATAATTTTTTGAAATGAAAACATAAGGAACATACATATAACCATAATTCTTCCAATCGATTGTTGTAAACCAAATAGAAAATTCAGCAATTTCAAGGGGGGTTTTCCTAAAATCTAAAATGTTGACATATATTATTAACGCATGGTACTTTGAAACATGTGTATAAAAACCTGAAAATACTCCAATTTAAAGGGCAATATTATAATGAGGCATACTAACGCGGGACCAATATTGACAACATTGTGTAAGAATTAGCAACTTCTTGGTGTTTTCATTATATAAGGGGTTGGGCCTAATTAAGGGCCGATGTAACTCAAGTTCCAAGCTAATATTTTAGTTTTCAATCCCAATACCGTCCATTACACTAAATCTTAAATAGGTAGGATGTTTTATATAGGACTTGGGTCGATACAGTTTATTCTCTAACCTCACGTTTTAGCTTTTATGTCGATATCCTCCGAGATAAAAATGATTACAACATATGGCTAAATCGACTAAATCGTTTTAAAATTCCATACTATGTGGGGTATGAACTGAAAATTTCGTCTACCGAATAACCCCCCTACTACAGCTATATGGGATAACCCCAACACCCGGAAAAAATCAGCTAACTATTTTAAAATAAACCAGTGAGCGGAGCAGTATAGACGGATGGGTTCGACCATACGGTACCCTACACAACTACCACGGAACTCAAATTTTCTCCGGATGTTTATTCCGGGCCTGGGCAATATTTCGTGATATTTGCACCCTCTTGCACAGTGGGTTGTGTTGTGATCTTCGGCTTTCATTTGTGGTCTATAGATTGACTCGAAAATAACACAAAAAATTAAGTCTTCGCCCCACTTCATTCCAAAATTATTATCTGATCATCCCCGAAAATTATAGGCGTTGTCCTTGACCATAACTGGAACCTCATGGAACATTTCAAATCGATCTGCGCTATAGTTCCGCTCTCTAGAGTGATAATGGGTTACTAAATAATATACAAATACGGAGATACCTATAAATATTTACGTGTAACTCCCACATCCGAGCACATACAACAATATAATTGGTCTTAATTTAAAGGTCAACCATTCCTCTTGGATATAATATCAACTTCTCTGGTCTATGTCCTTCAGGGGTAAATATATACGCCATAGAATACAAATTTTGTCATTTTTTACACAAAAGTCAGGGTCCATTTGACCGGCATGCTTATTCTTTGTCCGATCCCCTTCTCCATGCAAAATTTCACGATGTTCGGGCCATTATTGCGGCCTCTGGAGCAACCAGAAAAAACGACAAAAATGGTCCATTCCATCCCCTAAATATTAACCGATCTTTCCCAAAAACAATAGGGGTTCATTGGCCACAACCCATCCTACATCCAAAATTTCGTGAAGATTGGTCCATAACTGTGGCCTGTATCGTGTTTACAAATTATAATGGACAGTCGGACGGACGGACACACATGTCTAGATCGACTCAGCTCGTCGACATATGACGATCGGTATACTTAAAGGTGGGTCTAGGACCAATATTTCGCGGCGTTACAAACTTTTGGGGCTGCACAAAGCTATAATATCCTGTCAACATAGTTGTGTAGGGTATAAAAAGGGGGTTATATGGGGACTACCCCTAAAAGGGGGTGAATATTAATAATTTTTGGTTGGGAGATTTGTTACCATATACGACTACAAAACACCAAATTACAGCGAATTCGATTGAAAAACGTGCTCAAGAACCGCAAAATACCGAAAATTGGAGGGTACCCTTATATGGGGGCTACCCGAAAAAGTGGACCTATATTTATAATTTTTAGTGGAGAGATTTGCTTCGCAATAAGAACTCAAAGTACCATAGCCCATCTTCGAACTTGATCTGCCTGCAGACAAAAGACGAATCTATGCAAAATTTTGGCGCTCTATCTCAATTTCGTTTAGACAGACGGACATGCTTAGATCATCATAGAATTTTACGCTGATCAAGTATACATATACTTTATAGGGTCGGAAATGATTATTTCGATGCGTTACAAACGGAAAAACAAAACTAATATACCCTCCATACGATGGTGGAGGGTATAAAAATATTCAGAAAATATGAGATACCCTAATGTAAAAACAGAGAATAAAATTTAACTTCTGTGAGAAAGGAAAAGGGATCTGCAAGTTCTTTAAATTTATTTTTTATTTGTGAACGTGAATTCTGGGGTCTGTATACATATGTATGTGTTGCTGCGTAGTACATGTTTTATATAAAACATTATATATATATATATATATGCCCAAAAGGCCATTTTCTTGCATAGTTATGTCAAATGGCAAAATGACAAATGCCAATGTAAATGTCCTTTTAAGTACTACTTTACACTCTGATGCACACTAACACATACGCTCATACATATAATATTATAAAAATTGTTTGTAGTCGCCCTGTGGACTTAAATTAAAGTAACATATAGACATTGTGACTCGTACTACATCACATAATTAAATATTAAATTACACACCAGTTGCCATAGTAGAATGAGTAAATTTATATTTGTATTCATTTGAATTCTTATTATGACAAATGAAATTGTCATATATATGGTTGGCTGAGTTATGAATAAATTTTCGTATCTATTTGAATAGAAAATGCCTACATACATTTGGAGATAACATTCAGAGGATTATTTGATAATGAGACTATTGTGAGAAAGATTGTGTATTAGACAGCAGGTAGTAGAGGGACACCTGGAATATACCCTAATAATTTACACAATTTTTATAACAGTGTAATTTTGATGTAATATTAATACTCAACAAAAAATTTAAATATTCTTATTAATTACAGAAATATTAATAAGAGTATTAATTTTTATTTGTTTCTTCTCTTATTAAAGGCATATTGATTTCCAAATGAAATAAAAACCCCAACAACATTACATGTATTCATGCGAATAATTTCAATAGGTTTGCCATTAATAGTGAGTGCTTTAAAATTGCCTCATTTAAATCAATTGTGTACACAGACTCCCAAACACACATATGCACACGGACACACATTCAAAGTTTATTTTTCCCATGACCACAAAAAATGTGGAAAACCCGTGAAAACGTGCTTCCATGGAAATTTCCATGTGCCATATATTGTGTGTTGACCAAAGTTAATAAAATGCTTAAACAAAGACAAACAAATGCGGTGAAGTGTTTCACTCACACATAAACACTACAACCACAAATGCAGCAGCACGGGTTTTTTACTTAACTATGAAAAATTCAATACACAATACCATTGCGTTTAGTTACACAAAAGGGGCGAAAAGGGACAAGGGAAATGAATGGCTGGATATTAAAGCTTATCGAAGAAAAAGGTTGTGTGTTTGTTCTTTTATTATTATTATTTAAATTTAGTAGTGAGGTGAAAAATATATCTATAATTTATTAGGGCAATAACAAGGTCGGCTTTAAATATTCAGTTCAATAAAGAGGCGACAGTGTTTTAAAGTTAAAAATTAGTTGAGGATTTTTTGTAATATTCCTTATCATTTTTTTTTATAAAAATATGTCATTATCCAGATACAATTTTGCCGCAAACATTATCCCCATTAGTCGGATAACATTTTTTCTTTGAAAAACCTTATCCGGATAACATGTTTCCATCAAGAACCTTATCCGGATAACATTTTTCTATGATTACCCTTATCCGAATAAGATTTTTGATGTTTCTATGAAAACCCTTATCCGGATAACTTTTTTTATGAAAAACCTTATCCGGATAACATTTTTCTATAAAAAACTTATCCCGATAACATTTTTCTATGAAAGAGCTTATCCGGATAACATTTTTCTATGAAAAACCTTATCCGGATAACATTTTTCTATGAAAAACCTTATCCAGATAACATTTTTCGATGAAAAAACTTATCCGGATAACATTTTTCGATGAAAAACCTTATCCGGATAACATTTTTCTATGAAAAACCTTATCCGGATAAAATTTTTCTATGAAAAACCTTATCCGGATAAAATTTTTCTATGAAAATCCTTATCCGGATAACATTTTTCTATGAAAAACCTTATCCGGATAACATTATTCTATGAAAAACACAAACAAATTTCAGAAAAATTTTCCTATAGAAAATTTTAGTCCGGACTACAAAAATTTTCCTACAGAAAATTCTAGTCCGGACTACAAAAATTTTCCTATAGAAAATTCTAGTCCGAACTACAAAAATTTTCCTATAGAGAATTCTAGTCCGGACTACAAAAATTTTCTTATAGAAAATTCTAGTCCGGACTACAAAAATTTTCCTATAGAAAATTCCAGTCCGGACTATACAAATTTTCCTATAGAAAATTCTAGTCCGGACTACAAACATTTTCCTATAGAAAATTCTAGTCCGGACTACAAAAATTTTCCTATAGAAAATTCTAGTCCGGACTACAAAAATTTTCCTATAGAAAATTCTAGTCCGGACTACAAAAATTTTCCTACAGAAAATTCTAGTCCGGACTACGAAAATTTTCCTACAGAAAATTCTAGTCCGGACTACGAAAATTTTCCTACAGAAAATTCTAGTCCGGACTACGAAAATTTTCCTACAGAAAATTCTAGTCCGGACTACACAAATTTTCCTATAGAAAATTCTAGTCCGGACTACAAAAATTTTCCTATAGAATATTCTAGTCCGGACTATAAAAATTTTCCTACAGAAAAATGACTACAAAAATTTTCCTATAGAAAATTCTAGTCCGGACTACAAACATTTTTCTATAGAAAATTCTAGTCCGGACTACAAAAATTTTGCTATACAAAATTCTAGTTCGGACTACAAAAATTTTGCTATAGAAAATTCTAGTCCGGACTACAAAAATTTTCCTATAGAAAATTCTAGTCCGGACTACAAAAATTTTCCTATAGAAAATTCTAGTCCGGACTACAAAAATTTTCCTATAGTCCGGACTACAAAAAATTCTCGGGACAGCAAGAATTTTCCTACAGAAAATTATGGTCCGGACATCAAGAATTTTCCTACAGAAAATTCTGAACAAAGAATTTCCGAATTTATTATTTGTAACCACTGTCTTCTGGCTAATAAACCCATTTAAAGACATAAACACACTTACACATACAGGAAATATATACATTTGTATGTGTTCAAATTGTGCCTCAGCCATACTTACATTGTTTTTGTAGAAATGGTGTTGCGGCACGATAATGTTTTACGGTTAAAACAACAATATCGCCGGCATTGCGGAGGATATTCACAGCATCATCATGGGGGCAGGCGGTTATATATTCACCATTAACTTTAATTATGGCATCACCCACAAACAATTGACCAGTTATGTCGGCGGCCTGATCCTTATAAATGCGTGAGATTAATATGGGTAGCTTGTGCTCGGCACCGCCCTTTATGCTCAAGCCAAGGCCGCCTTGTTTTTGACGCGTGATTTGTACCATGCGTTCCTGGAATAAAAAAGAGAAACAAAAAGAAAATGGGATAATAATACAACAACACGAGGGGGAGTTGAAAATGTAATGAGCTTAACTTTAGAGTCAACAATAACTAACGTGCCACATCATGCAGACGCGGCAGCCACAAACAAAGGCGGTACATTGTGCCAATGAAACATTTTTAACAAGGTAACATTGGCAGAAGGAAATTTGTATTGTAAAATGTTCCTTATTAAAGGATTAAAGGTGAAAATTTCAAGTCACGCATGAATTAGTTGAATATGTGTGAGTGGGTGGATGTTTGTAGGTGGGTGTTGTGTGTCGTCGTATATGTTCTGCTAAAGAAGATATGTGTGGGTTTTAAATTTTATAAAATGAATTAATGTATTAATTAAGTTCATATACGCTTCAATTAAAATGTTCAAATGTCAAGGCATATTTTAACAAGTTAATTGGGTTTTAAAGATTGACACATTAATGTGAAATGACTTTATTTGGAAATGGTTACAATATTTATCGAGAAATGTAACGCTCTACTACATAACATGCTATTTTTGTAGTGTGAAATTAGCTTACCGAGTGAGCTAATCTCACACAGCGAATGATGAGCTCTTTGAAAGAGAAACTCTGCGTACAATATAATACTCTGCATAATTTTGATTAAATACACCAAGCGATCGAAAAATCATATGTGAACAACTTACAAATGTCATATTTTGTCTAAAGCTGGCTGTATATGGCCATGGCTGTTATAACTGATATTTATAAATTTACTGTTACAACTTATATTTATAAATTTCAGAGGCAGGGAGCTGAAAAATATGCGTACATTTCGAAGGAAGATATTTTCATTTAAATTTTGAAAACTGAATGCAGTGAAATACAAACCAGTAAGGAAAGTAGTAAAGTGGGACTGGGCCGACTATATAATACCCTTCACCACTTTGGTATATTATATATATATATCGTAATGGACGTCGCCTTTTCGAATGAACATTGAAATTGAACGAACTCAAGTATGTGATCTTTATCTATATGTGAACCGACTAACATCAATCCGCATATATATTCTAAAACCTGTGCTAAGTTTAATCCTTTCAGTGTTTTTGTCGAATATATTCGACATTTAAAATTACTCTCTTTCTTTGCGATTCTTCGATTATCTTATGTACCGTTACTATTGATGGTTTTGTTTTTGCTAAAAGACAGACGAAACTGTTCGAGGGTTAAAATGAAAATTGCTATTTTTTCTAAACTCTATACCTTTATACGATTTTAAATACACAATTTTAGATTTTTTTTCCGACAAATTTTTTTCTTGGCACTGAAAGGGTTAATTTCATTCAGGCAGAATTACAGTCGTTTGCGTACAATGGGACAAACTTATTTAGATCGATTTATAACAAACTTAACACGCTCTTCGGTATGCCGCACTTTCGTGTCAATCGGACAAACATTAGGAGTTTGGTGAGAGCTATATCTAAATTTGAACCGATCTTGACAAAATTTAGCAAAAATCATTTTAGATCCAATTAGGTACGCTATGCCAAATTTCGATAGATATATTCGGAATTTGGTGCACCATTTACATTAAATTCGACGAAATATATTTAAATCTGAACCGATTTTCACGAAACTTAGCTCACATAATTTCGATTTTCACAAAACATAGCGCACATTATTCTAGACTCCATTCAGTACGCTATACAAAATTTCGTGCAAATCGAAAGATACATAGGGATTTTGGTGCACCCTTTACCTTAAATCGAACGAAAACATATATGGGAGCTATATCTACATCCGAACCAATTTGCACGAAACTTGGCACACATCAACCTAGGCCTAATTCAGTACGATGTTAAAAATTTCATGCAAATCGAAAGATATGTAGGTACTTTGGTGCACCATTTAAATGAAATCGAACGAAAATATATAAATCGGAACTATATGCAAATCTGAACCGATTTTTACGAAACTTAGCACACATCATTCTAGGCTTAATTCAGTAGACTCTGTCGAATTTCCTGCAAATCGAAAGTTTTATAGGGACTTTGGTACAACATTTACCTGAAATTGGACGAAAATATATATATCTATATCTAAATCCGAACCAATTTGCACGAAACTTTTGCACGCATCAATCTAGGCCTAATTCATTACGATGTGCCAAATTTCATGGAAATCGTAAGATATATAGGTACTTTGGTGCACCATTTACCTTAAATCGGACGAAACTAAATACGGGAGCTATTACTAAAACTAAATCGATGTTCTTCAATTTCAATAGGGTTCGTCCGTGGGCCAAATAAGTGAACTGTGCCAAATTTCATCAAAATCGGTACTTTGTTTACAATTTAACATGGACAGACGTACATGCATAAATCGACTCAGAAAGTAATTCTATGCATATTCTCAAAAAGAACAATGTGTGCTATACGAGGTAGGACAAGATGGTAGAGGGAGCATGTTTGATAAATAGTTAGATATACCTTATAAAAGTGCATGATTATATTAGGATATCACTTGATGTTATAACAAGTGATATCCTAATATAAAAATAAAATAAAAACCAGTGAGCGGAGCAGTATAGTCGGACGGGGCCGACCATATGATACCCTACACAACTACCACGGAACTCTAAATTTTGCGTATGTTTATTTCGAGCCTGATCAATATTTCGTGATATTTGCACCCTCTTGACCGATTAGAGATCAACAGCACCTCTTCCTTACACTGACATATTGTCCGAATATCCCAATATTCTGTACAGCCCTTCTAATTATTTGTCCAGATTCACTTCACCGTGTGTTGTGTTGTGATTTCGGTTTTGTGGCCTATAGATCGACTCGAAAAAATACAAAAAACTTAGTTTTGGGTCCACTTCATCCCAAAATTTTAATCTGATCATCACAGAAAATTATCGGCGTTGTCCTTGACCATACCTGGATCCTCAAGGAAAATTTCAAAGCGATGAGCGCTTTATTTCCCCCTCTAAGCTCTTGAAAATATTTACGTATAACTCCCACATCCGAGTACATACGACCATATAATTGGTATGAAATTAAAGCTGAACCACTCCTCTTGGTTATACTATCAACTTCTTGGGTCTATGTCCTTCAGGAGTAAATATGTACGCTATAGAATACAAATTTTGTCATTTTTCACACAAAAGTCAGGGTCCATTTGACGCGCTAAATATTGACCGATCTTTATCAAAACAGGCATGCTTATTCTTTGGCTCGATCCCCTTCTCCATGCAAAAATTCGCGATGTTTGGGCCATAATTGCGGCCTCTGGAGCGACCAGAAAGTCAGACAAAAATAAAGTTTTTGGTCCATTTCATTCCCTAAATATTAACCGATCCTTTTCAAAAACAATAGGGGTCTTCATTGGCCAGAACTCATTCTACATGCAAAATTTCGTGAAGATTGGTCCATAACTGTGGCCTGTATATATATATAATATATATATATATATTATAATTTGTATACACGATATACAAATTATAATGGACAGACGGACGGACACACATATCTAGATCGACTCAGCTAGTCGAGATATCATGATCGGTATACTTAAAGATGGGTCTAGGGCCAATATTTCGCGGCGTTACAAACTCTTGGGTCTGCACAAAGCTATAATACCCTGACAACATAGTTGTGTAGGGTATAAAAATTGGGCTATACTAGGTAGGACAATTATAACAAAATCTGTATCGCAGAGGGATCATGTTTAATAAATAGTTAGATATACCTTAGAAAAGTGTATGATTATATTAGGATATCACTTGATGTTATAACAAGCGTTATTTTAAAAATAAATTGAATGACATAAATAATTTTTTTTACAAAATTGTCCGATTTTAAGTAATTTTGGTCCAATGAGGTTCAAACATTATTATTTCCAAAATATAAAACAATTACAACAATTACTAAGGTATTCTTAATAAAGGCACAAATAATTATTTCAAACTTATTGTGCCTCACTCTTAAAGATTTCAATTTCTTTCTATTAAAAATAAATCCAAAAGTATATAAAATATTTAATATTTTGTAATTTATAAATCATATTAAATTCATTCTTTTTTATATCATAACTCCCTAATGTACATTAAATACCATTTAATATATATACCAGTTGTCGCATATATTAAATTAGCGGATTCCCTTTCTTGTTGTCGCAATTTACACTAATAAATTTATTAATATTCATAATTTGTTCTACGGAAAAAAGCATACAATCTCCCCCGGAGCAATGTGGTAAACACCTGACATAATACGAAAACACACACGCACACATGCTTATGTAAAATATATCAGCCGCCCCTTGTTTTTCGAGAATTTCTTAGAATCTCATAAATTTAATATGAATAATTTACATAAAACCAACGTAAACGTCAACTAATTTATTTTAATATATATATATTGTTACTGCTATTATATAATAGCTGATTTTCACTTTATGGATTTTCCAACTCAGTAAATATTGAATAGGGAAATTGATGCAAATATTTGTGGAAGGGAAAAAATTAGTTTTGCATGCAGTAGCATAGATTAAATTACATTATAAATAATTTTGGGGAAGGATAGAGATTAAATACACTTTAAGGATATTGATATTGTGTAGCGAAGGAAATTAACTAAAAATTAAAATTTTTGATAATTACATTTATTTTTTTGCTAATAATAACAATTATAATTTAATAATTCATAATAACATCTTAAAAATTAATATTGAAATCCAATATCCTTCATTAGGTTATCAAACCCCTGTTACTATTGTAAGGTCTGGACAGCCTCTAGACTTATTTTGCCCTGATTAATGTTATGATTTCCCAAAAATTTATTTTAATTCCATACTTACTTTTGATTCACTGGGTGGGCCATTTTGTGCATTTGTAGGTGTGACAATTTCTAATCTCTGTAACGTCACTAATTCCATGGTCAAATTCAGTCTAAGGGGTTCTGGTTTACATTTGCCATCGCTGACATTTACCATCCCTGTTCGGATCTGTAAGAAAAAAATCGGAAAATATGTTAAATACCATATAGAACATATAGAAAAAATCTATGGAATATCAGGATCAAAGAAGTAAAAAATTGTCAGTCGGAGTTGCCGACAGATATCTACCTTCAGCCGATGGTTTGTGGAGGTCTTCGGAATTACAGGGAGGTATTATTCAAAGAGGCTTCGGATTTAATCAGAAACCAGTAAGGAAAGTAGTAAAGTCGGACGGGGCCGACTATATGATACCCTTCACCACTTTGGATATATTCAACAGATGAATCCTAACAGACGTTTCATTTTTAATGGGCCATCAAAATGAAATTGGATCCATAAACATGTCATTCTGCAACCTATACTAATTTTTTTCATTTGGTCAGATATAGAAGCTATATCTAAATCTGAACCGATTTCAGGAAATTTTACACACATCATTCTAGACCTAATTCATTACGCTGTGCCAAAATTTCGTGCAAACCGAAAGATATTAAGGGACTTTGGTACACCATTTACCAGAACCGTTTCTCACGAAAATTAAAACACATCATTCTAGACCTAATTCATTACGCTGTGTCAAATTTCGTGCAAATCGAATGATATATAGGGACTATGGTGCACCATCTACATATATCTAAATCTGAACGAATTTTCAGGAAACTTAACTCACATTATTCTAAACCTAATGACATGTAAGGACTTTGGTGCACCATTTATATAAAGTCGGACGAAAATATATATGGGAGCTATATCTAAATCTGAACCGATTTTAATGAAACTCAGCACACATCATTCCAGGCCTAATTCATTAGGGAATGCCAAATTTCGTGCAAATCGAAAGATATATAGGTACTTTGGTGCACCATTTACATTAAATCGGACGAAAATATATATGGGAGCTATATCTAAATCTGAACCGAATTTTCACCAAACTCAGCACAAATCATTCTGCACTTAATACAGAACGCTCTGCCAAATTTCGCGCAAATCGAATGATATATAGGGACTTTGGTGCACCATTTACGTAAAATCGGACGAAACTATATATGGGAGCTATATCTAACTCTGAACCGATTTTCACGAAACTTAGCACACATCATTCTAGACTTAATTGAATACGATATGCTAAATTTCGTGCATATCGAAAGATATATAGGGACTTTGGTGGACCATTGACATAAAATCGGACGAAACTATATATTTGAGCTATATCTAAATCTGAACCGATTTAAATGAAACTCAGCACACATCATTCTAGGCCTAATTTATTACCCTGTGCCATATTTCGTGCAAATCGAAAGATATATAGGGACTTTGGTGCACCATTTACATTAAATCGGACGAAAATATATATGGGAGCTATATCTAAATCTGAACCGATTTTTCCCAATTTCAATAGGGTTCGTCCTTGGGCCAAATAAGCGACCCATGCCAAATTTCATCCAAATCGGATCATAAATGCGACCGGTACTTTTTCACAAAAATACATGGACGGACAGACGGACATGCGTAAATCGACTCAGAAAGTGATTCTATGCATATTCTCAAAAGGAACCATGTGTCTATCTCGTTTTCTTTTCCCTGTTACAGACATATACCCAAAGACAGAATACCCTGTACCACAGTGTGGTGAAGGGTATACAAATGTAATCCGTTGGGGCTACAAACTTTTTTTTATAGAAACAATTTAGACCTGTTGTACTATAAAATTACATTATTAGGAAAAAATGCTATCAGACTGCTGAAATGTTCTTTACAAAACTTCTTTGACTGCAGAATGTCCTTTTTTATACCCTTCACCGCACTGTGGTACAGGGTATTATCTATGTCTTTGTGCATATGTGTGTAACTGGCAAAAGGAAACGAGATAGACACATGGTTCCTTTTGAGAATATGCATAGAATCACTTCCTGAGTCGATATATGCATGTCCGTCCGTCCGTCGGTAGATGTTAAATTTAAACAAAGTACAGGTTATTTATGATCTTATTTGGATGAAATTTGCCACAGCTCACTTATTTAGCCCAAGGACGAACCCTATTGAAATTGATTCAGATTTAGATATAAATGGGGCATCAACGTCCCTATATATCATTCGATTTGCATAAAATTTGACATAGAGTTCTGAATTAGGTCCAGAATGATGTGTGTGCTAAGTTTCGTGAAAATCGGTTCAGATTTGGATATAGCTCTTATATATATTGTCGTCCGATTTAAGGTAAATGGGACATCCAAGCCCTTATATATCCTTCGATTTGCCCGAAATTTGGCATGTTGTATTCAATTGAGTCTAGAAAAAAAGTGTTAAGTTTCGAGAAAATCGGTTCAGATTTAGATATAGCTCCCATACATAGTTTTGTCCGATTTTATGTAAATGGTGCACCAAAGTCCTTATATATCTTTCGATATGCGGAAAATTTTGCATGGTGAACTCAATTGAGCCTTAAATGACGTGTGCCAAATTTCGAGAAAATCGGGTCAGATTTATATATATATATATATTTTTGTCCGAAAAAGACCCTATATATCTTTCGATTTGTACGAAATTTGGCATAGAGTGCTGAATTAGGCGCTGAATGATGTGTTCTAAGTTTCTAAATCGGTTCAGATTTAGATTTAGCTCCCATATATTTTCGTCCGTTTTAATGTAAATTGTGCACTAAATACTATAAAGTTTCGATATGCGGAAAATTTTGCGGCACTCAATTGAACCTTGTACCAAATTTACTGAAGTTATATATATATATATATTTTTGAATGTTTTGTGCGTTGTAGTATTTACCTCTTTTATTTATTGGTTCGCTGATGACAAGTGTATTTATAGAAATTTTGTGTTTTTTTTTCTGTTTGTGTGTTTCTTCGTGAAGCGTCTGTTAGGATACATGTGTAGAATATACACATAGTGGTGAAGGGTATCATATAGTCGGTTCAGTCCGACTTTACTACTTTCCTTACTGGTTCTAAATTCACTTTAAATTGTAAACACTTACCTTTAAATTTTGATCAACTTTTTCCTCTATCGGAGTTGCCATTTTTTCATTGATCTTCATGCTTTACGATAAAATATTTTTCCAAATTTTTTCACTGCAAAGAGAAAATCACAAAAATACAAATTCGATTAATTAGTAACTAATAGTTTTGTGTGGTTTTAGAAAATATTAATTTTTAAATGAACTGGAACACAGTTTGCCACCCATTATCACCACCCATCCACTACCCATTAATTTGTTCGTATAATAATGGCTAAATATAATTGTGACAAATACTTTGGAAATAGTTAATGTGATTTTTAATTTTCAATCAATTTCAGGATGACATGCCAGGGCTGTGGAAATTGCTTTTCAAACGCATTGACAAAAGTGACATTAGTATGTGTGGGTGGGTGTGTGTGTGTGTGGAAAAATTAAAGTTTAATTGCATGTGATTGATGGACATACGATAAAAGGACAATTTCATGGTAATAACGGGTTGGGGGAAATTAGTTGGTGAGGTTAGAGTTAAATGCGGGTTTCGTGTCAAATATGTGTGCGGGTGGATGTCAAAAATAATTATTGTTATAAAATTATTTGTTAAAAATATGAAATGAGGAAAAAGTAAATAAGTGAAAAGGGAGAATCGAAAAACAGATATATAAAAAAACAGTAAGGAAAGTAGTAATGTCGGACTGGGTCGACTATATGATACCCTTCACCACTTTGGGGATATACTACATATGTATATATCGTCTTTTCGAAGGAACATTCACATGAAATTGAACGTACTTAAAAATGCGATCTTTATTTATAAGTAAACCGACTGACATCAATCCTTACGCATCTATTTCATACTTTTTAAATAGACTTTAAGCAAACTTTACGCTCGCTATCACTGTTTAAAATGTAATATCAATCAAGAACCCATTGATTATTTGTTTTACAATCAACATGAATAGCTCAAAATTATATATGGAAGCTATGCTATATCTAAATCTGAACCGATTTCAAGGAAACTTGCCCGAGATTCATTTATACTAATTTCAGTACGTTTTGCTAATCGGGCTAGCTATGGGTCTTTACTACATCATTTACTTAAAATCGGACGAAAGTGTATATAGGAGCCCTATGTAAATCTGAACCAATTTCAAGAAAACTTGACACACACAAGGTTATAGTAACTTCAGTACATTGTACAAAATTGTGTGCGGGTCGGCCAATCTTTTGTTCTTTAGTGCACAATTTACATTAAATCGGACGAAAATATATATTGGAGCTATATCTAAATCTAAACCGATTTTTACGAAACTTAGCACACATCATTCCAGACCCAATTCAGTGCCCTATGCCCAATTTCGAGCAAATCGAAAGAAATATAGGGACTTTGGAGACCCAAATATTATACGGGAGCTATATCTAAATCTGGACCGATTTTCGCGAAACTCAGCACATATCATCACATATCTAATTCAGTACTCTGTGCCAAATTTCGTGCAAATCGAAAGATATATAGGGACTTTGGTACACCATTTACCTTAAATCGGATGAATATATATATGGAAGCTATATGTAAATCTGAACCGATTTTTCCCAATTTCAATAGGGTTCGTCCTTGGGCCAAATAAGTGACTTGTGCCAAATTTCATCTTAGTCGGATTATAAATGTGACCTGTACTTTGTGTACAATATAATTCTCCGGTAAAGAAAATTTTGCTACATAGTATTGAATTAGGAACCATGTGTCTATCTCGTTTCCTTTTGCCTGTTACAAACATATGCACAAAGACATAATACCCTATATAGGGACTTTGGTGCCTCATTTACCTTAAATCGGACGAAACTATATATGGGAGCTATATCTAAATGGATTTTTCCCAAATTCAATAGGGTTCGTCCTTGGGCCAAATAAGTGACTTGTGCCAAATTTCATCTTATATATAAATGTGACCTGTTTTGTGTACAATATAATATCTACAGATTGCATAAATCGATATAGCTATTCACATATATTTTTCCTTTTGCCTGTTATAAACATATGCACAATGGTGCACCATACTATAGATGTTTGTCCGATTGAAACAAAATTTTACACAGAGTACTGAATTAGTTCTAGATTGATGCATGCCAAGTATTGGATGTATTGAATTTTGTGTCGAGATAAATTTTGGATAGCACACAGTGTCTATTTATATATAGATCTTTTACATATTTTGGTCGATGATTGGCATTCAATTTTTCATAAATTTTATATTGGTACCCAAAGTGGTGAATGGTGTCATATAGTCGGCCCCGTCCGACTTTTGAACTTTCCTTAATGGTTTCATTATATGTTTATGTTTCGACATAGCATCATACAAAATAAAGCATAATTTTCGGTATTTGCAACGCCTCAATCGATTTTAAGTACTTAGAATATCCACCTCATGTCACTTTGCTTTCAATATTTAGAAACTAGTCATCTTATCTTCTAGTATATTCAACATTATATTCAAGTATATTCAACAACATTATTTAATGTTATATCTTATAATATTAAAATGAAATAATATTTACATATACTACAGAAATTCTTATAAGGCTACCTCCCCACATTATCGACAATTTATTTGCTTTATATATTTTAAATAAAATATTTTTTTCTTTATTTAATACATCACATATTTACACATAATTCTAATATTTTATTCTAGTATGTACTTGTGAACTATTTTCACCACAAACCATTAGATAGCATTTGAATTATCTACAAACTGGGACACATTATCCTTTCAATCTCACTCGAATCATTTCAACATACAAACAAACAAGAAAAAATATTTCACAACTCCAATTGTTTGCTTTTGGTAAACTTTTTTTTCTCGTTTCAGATAACCATTGGACGATTATAAAGCACACCGACATACAAACCTAGAAAAAACAGCAAAACAAACCAACTAACCTACCAACAGTTGGGCAATAAGTATATCACTTGGTCATCTGTGTAGTTTATGTGTGGAGGCGTATGTGAGTGTGTTGTATACACAGAGAATCCTTTCAAGCAACATTTCACAATAATGGCAAATTTCACAGAACGTTCTTTTTTTTTTGTCTAGCTCTGCCATATTTGCCAATTGACCGGAAATTGGGTCTAATTGTGGTAGATCATATGTGTGTTGAGGATTTATGTTTGAGGGGGTTTATGCGTGTTTGTATGAGGTATAGGTAAATGCTACCTCATTCTGGGGTTATTGTGTGCTTCTTGTAAATGTAAAAGAGAATACGGACACACACACATACATATATTGCAAAAACCTATTTCCTTTCGATGACAAGCATAATTGTAAACTTTTGTCCGATGCATTGTTATGGATGCAGAATTTTTTTTTTCTTCCTTCAGAGTTTTATATGGACGTAATGAATTGTGTGCTCTGTTTTAAGCACATATATTTACCTAAATGTTTTATATTTTTATACATATATATTCTTGATCGAAAAAAAATTTTATTTGGATATATACCTGAATATTTACGATTGAAATCTGAACATACTACTACTCCCACAATTCTCTGCACAAAACATCATCTATTCCGATCGACTCGGAAAAGGAAACCAGTAAGGAAAGTAGTATAGTCGGACGGGGCCGACTATATGATACCCTTCACCACTTTGGGTATATTCAACAGATGGAATCCTAACAGACGTCACATTTTGGAAGGATTAACACATTAACAAAAAATTTAACATGTCATTCTACTAAATCTTGGTCAGTTAGAGTTGCTTCTTACAATGGGACAAAATTATGGAAATAAATTTAAAGCAAAATATCGAAATCTAAACCTATTTCATCGAAACTTGTCACATGTTAGGTTACACTTACTTCAGTATGTTTTGTGCATTCGGTCACATTTTGAGTTCTTCATATACTTATAAATCCAAATTTCGTGCAAATGGAAAGATACATAGAGACATTGGTGCATCATTTACATAAAATCAGACGAACATATATATATATATATATTCTTGATATATGGGAGCTACATCTAAATCTGAACCGATTTTTACGAAATTCAACACACATCTTTCTAGATTCAATTCAGTACGCTGTGCTGAATTTCGAACAAATCGAAAGAATAAGCACGGCTGTTTTGATGAAGATCGGTCAATATGATCCGAATATCAATTTACACAGAGAAAGGGATTTGAACATAGAATAAGCATGGCTATTTTGATGAATATCGGTCAATATTTAGCGGGTTAAATGGCCCAGATTTTCGTGTGAAAAATAAGAAAATGTATATTCTATGGCGCATATATTTACTTCTGAAGGACAAATACCCGATAAGTTGATAGTATATCGAAGAGAAGTGGTTGATCTTTAAACTGATGCCAATTATATTGTTGTATGTACACGGATGCGGGAGCTATACATAATTATTTAAAGGTGTCTATGCGTTAGTAGACACGGCTATAATTTTTGGTGATGTTGAGATTAAAGTTATTTTTGTCAGATTTTCTAGTCGCTCTAAATGTCATTTTATATGCAGAACATCACATATTTTCCACTGTGAAGGGGATCTGATCAAATGATTAGAACGGCTCTTTAGATGATGATCGGTCAATACCTCAAGGTTCAAATCTACCAAAACCTAAAGTGACAAAAATTTTATTTCATGGCGTAAATATAGAAAATATGCCAGAATCAGAAGTAGAGCTGTTGACTATAATCGTTGAAGATAGTCCAAATATTGCAAACTATAGAACCACAGAAAGCTAGATTTTCGTGATAGTTTTGTAGTTGTCATACGGTCGGCCCCGTTCCACTATACTGCTCACTGGTTTTTAAATATCGTTGATTTTCATTTCTAAGTTTTGTAATTATTTTTATGTGTTATGTACGTGATGCATTGGTCCAGTCCCCGTCATTTTAAGTTTTAAAACTTGGCACTCCTCGAAGTTAAATTAACTTACTTTTGTTTTGTCCTGTTTGAATATGTTTTCCCAATAAAATTTCATTATCCTTAAACGTAAATCCTTAACAGATTTTTAGATTACTTGATGCCCCCAGATAACTCCGACCTTTTAAATTTCTATTACTGTACAGATTTGCATTTATAATTATAATTTTTAGTAAATGC